TGCTTTCTACCTCGCCTCCTGACGAGGCACAGAGCTGGTCTTTGTCCAGGCAGCTGGAAGGTTCCACTATAACTACCCCAAATTTGCAGTTTCTCTGATCTCAGTTAATAGGTCCTGATTGTTGTCACTGCCCTGACCCAGGGGCTGCCAGTATAACCAAGTAATACATTTAGGTCTGGGATTTCCACACATACAGACCCAAGAGTGCTTCTCTTCTCCTGTATTTGTAATGCTGGTCCCATTCATAAACCCCTTCACTCCAGTGGCCTTGTCCATTCCTGCACAGCAGCATCTCCACAGCCCAGGAAAGCCTCCTTGCATCATCTCCCAGAGACTCTTCGTACAGCACAGACAGCACCAGCCTGGGGTTACTCCCCATGGTCACCATCAAATAATTGCTATGATCACAACACCTAAAACTAGTTAAGTATTATTGTGCCACAAATTAGAAACCAAGAACAAGCACATCCTACTTGGAATTCAACAACCCCAAAATGTACAGATTTAGACAGTAAAAGATTCGTTTCTTGCTACAGCTCGCTGAAAAATCATTTCCCTTCTCTGTTCTTGGCAGGTCAGCCAAGTTCCAAACAAGAATGAACACCTCACAAATAGCAGCACCATCTCCTGCACTGGGTACAATTCTGTCCAAATAATGGTTGAAGACCTTTTTTTTCAAATCTACCCTAAAGGTCCCATTTCTCCCAATTCTCTTTTTCTTTCATGTTAGTTCATGTCCTCTTCAATATGAACCATAACTAACACGTGCTACCAGCAACCAACTCACATGCAAGCAAAAGGTCTCTGAGTTATCCCGACTCTGCTGCGTGGTATTTTTTATAAAAAAGAAGGTGCTGTTATTTTATTTACTGTGAGTGTTCCCTGCTTACCTATGCTCCAGGCCAGGACAATCAACAATAAAGCTACATTCAAATGCACAGAAATACTACAAAGTTTCTACAGAGAGCCCAAAAGCTACTGCAGCCAGGAGGACAAAACTTTCACAGCAGAAGATACATTCCTATTTCCTTGCTCTTCCCTCTTGGCCTTCCATCTCTTGTCATTTCCTTTTTTTGTCTTTCATGCTATTATTTATTTGAATTATCTACTGCCAGATTAGTCATAATGTAACTCTTTATATTTAGCCCACATAAAATATTTACAGTTCAAGAGTACTCAAATATATTAATTTCTAAACACAATGACTCAGTCAATTAACAACCCTCTCCACCAGAAAACAAAAATACACTTCTGGATAAAGAAATTGTGGTGACGTAAGCTTTCAGTCTTTGGAATACCTTACTTGAAACTTCTTCTTTACTATAAAGAGAGTTTCTGCTTCCTACATTCTTCCAAGTCTTCCAAACACAGAAAAGCAGTGCACTGAGTAACCTAAAACAGATTAGTACTTGATGATATAAGTAGTGAAGCTCTAGGTTCATTCAGAAGCAGCACCACCACAGGGTATCCAAATCTTGGAATGGTTTGGCTTGGGGAGACCTTAAAGACCCTCTCATTCCACTCTCCTGTCACGGGCAGGGACACCTTCCACTAAATCAAGTCGCTCCAAGCCCCGTCCCACCTGGCCTTGGACACTTCCAGCGATGCAGCAATCCCAAATGTGTGTTTAACTTCTGCCACATGCACAAAAAATCATCAGAAGGCCCTGAAAGAATGGGACATCACACACCAGATATAGAAAAGGAAACGTGGTAAGTAAGGTCTGACATTTCCGCACGATAAGCGGCCGTGTTTGAGTGTTCCTGATCACAGGGTCTCTCTCAGACTATTTTACCAGATTCAGCCAAATGGCAACTGCACCTCCTGCAAAGAGCAACAAAACAGTCAGCAGGGCCTGACAGAGCCAAACAAACAAAAAAAGGGGTGTGGGAATCTGAAGTACAGAAACCCAGGTTTTTTATCCAGAATACTTCCATGTGGTTTTGAAAACAGCTTCTACGTTCTCTTCTGCTCTGAAGAATAATTAATCACCTGCTGTTTAAAGTGAACCTGGTCTTGAATATGCATTGTTCTACCCCGATCATCTGAAACTGGTCATATTTAAGGAAGAATTTCTTAAGCTCTCTCAAACAGAATAGGAAAAAAAACTGTCACAGAAAAGACATTAGTATGAGACTAATCTGTAAAATCTCAGAAACTGAATTACACATGATAGGACAATCCGTACAGAAATAGAAACCATCACCCAAGGTTTAGAGCTGCCACACACTTTACGTGATGTTCCAGCTGGTGACTCTCAGAGAAACAGCACTGTCAGTATTCAAACACAACACACATTTCAAGACACAGAATGAAGCTCCTAGGATGCAAGAATAGCTCCGTGGTCAAGTCTCAATTCAGGAGAGAGCCACGTTCTGCAGAACTGAACTGTTCCATCACCTCTGAAAATAAGCTAGCCACACCTTTAACCCCAAAGAAAAGTTTATTGAAGAGATGGAAAGAGTTCCCAGTCAGCTCCATCTCAATACCAGACTATTTTTCGAAGTACAAGGCTTGTTTTCCAGTTAGCTTGTTCAGTTACAGGACTGAGTGGTGACAGCCTGGAAAAGACAGGGCAGCGACTGATGTGAATCCCAGGGACACCGTACCCTGGAGAGGCTGCTGTGCCACAGCACTCCTAAACATCAGGCTTTGTCAGGCATTAGGATGAGACCTGAGCCTCTGAGATCTGAGCACCACTCTCACTGAGGCTCTGGAGGTGGCTGCAAAGAAGGGTAAAGGATTTGAAGTTACTCCCCTCAGGTGCTGGAGTGCCTCCAGTCACGGCACCCACGTGAACCAAAGCCCAGAATCACTGCTACAGAAGGGCCACCAGAGAACACTGGAAGAGATGCTGCTTTGCTGCCCTTCAACCAAATAAAGGAAAAAAAAAAGTCCAGGCAAACTAGGATGAAAGAAAGAGAATAAATTACAGATAAGACAAAGCAAGAAAAAGCTGAAAAAGACAACACTTCCTAACTAACCAGTGCGTGCCACTGGTCATGGCACAGGGGATAAAATCACTGGAGCTCCTGCAAGAAGATGCACTCTGGAGGTGGGTAGTCTGTAGATACTGCCTGGTGCAAGAACATGCATAAAATACTGTTTGTTAAGTCCTGTCACAATTCCATTTCAGGCTCAGAAGTTTCCACACATCTCCATTCTGACAGCTCCTTTTCCAGCCACGGGGTTTTGCAGACCCAATACAAGTTTTATCGAACATCCATCTTCTAAGAGCAGCTTTCAGGGAAAAAAAGAGCAGAGATTTGTGGGGAGGGAAAAAATAATCCTACTCCTGCTGAGAGTACAGGCGTGGAGTTACTCCTGTCCCAGTGACGTATCTGCCTTCAGTGCCTCCATGTATAGCATAACTTGCACACAGGAACACACTACTTGCTCAGCTTTTCATTAAATTAAAATATTTCAGTATATTTTATCTAGTTTTATGTTTAGCCATCTATAACCACCCTTCAGTACACAGAATTTGAAAATGGTAGCTTAATCTGCAGCAGAGGGGCTCAAACCCATTCACATAACACATGGAAATCCATTTATAAAGTGTCCTCTGACATATTCAACTCAAAAGTCATTCAACATCTGGATATTTACATGGGCAAAATTTTGATAAGTTACAAATCCTTCCAAAGTCACCACTTACTCAGGAATTACTACATCTATTGCATACATCTGTGACAGTTTTTCATTGAAATGATTGAAAAGCAACAATTTTTCAATCACATCTGTTTTACAGCCAAACAATACACAGTTCCCCAGGTGCTGTAACTGCTGCTGAGGGGAAGACAAAAGCTGCAGGCAGGCACTGTGCAAGAACTGCAAGGGCCTGGAAACTGCAGGACTTCAAACTCTGACCTTTCAAACACAGAACAGGGAGAAGGTACCTGCTGGTACCCCTGCAGTGCAAAAACTGGATAGCAAAAGTGCACAAGAAGGATTGCACCATGAAGTGACAAGGAAAATCCCCAAACACAGTAGGTTCAGCCCAACAGGTCTGTAGGTTTGTAGGTTGAGGAAACCACTATCTTCATATTTTTTAAGAGTAGCTTATTATGAAACCAGTGACCTGAGGCATGTGAATTGTGATTCTCAACAAACTGTATCTTATACAGCTTCAGAAGTTTAAGATAATCCACAACAGACAAAACTGAAGGAAAACAAACAAGTGGCAGATAGTGATAATCACAAAAGTCTTATCTTAATCAGTATGTTGAGTTTTAATTATCAGTTGGAGGTTACTACGCTACAGATTGAGTGCATCACAGAAGCAGAGCTAGCTCCACACTAAAAGCCAAGTCCACCACGACTCTTGTAGGATGAACCGCTACAGCTATGTTCTATGAACGACCACCTCTCGTCTGGTTAGAACATTAGAACAGCATGCGGTACAGCAACCAAACTAACGAGGCATTCTGTGCTGGAGCTGGCTGCACACAAAGGCTCCAGCAACTCTGCACAGCATTCCCAGATCCAGGAATATCCAGCAGAGCCAGTCTGGATCCAACCTCGCTCGTGAAGCCCAACTGACCATGGCACTGCCCAGCCCAAACATCCCCCCGGACTCACCCGCACAGCGCGAGCGGCCGAACCCACCCAGGGCGGTGCGGGTGAGCTGTGCCCGCCCCGGGAGCGCCGGGCACGGCCCGGCCCGGCTCATCCCGGCTCCCTCCGGCCGCTCCTCCGTGCCCGGGCCAGCGCCGGGAGCCGGGCAGTGCCCCCCGCCCGTCCCGCCCGCCTCCCGCGGCACGGCCGGGCACACCCGCCGGGCTGGGGGCGGCGAGCCCGGCCTGCAGCCCCGCGGCCCCGGCCCTGCCCGGCCCCCCGGGCCGCGCTCCGGCGGGGCAGGGGCACAGACCGAGCACACGCGGAGCACACGCGGAGCACACGCGTGGGCCCCGCCGCCCGCGCCGCCGCGGCCGAGCAGGTCCGGCCCGCCCGGTCCCTGCCCGAGGCGGGCAGCAGCGCCGAGGCCCGCGGGCTCTTACCGAGAGGCGGCTCCGGAGCCGGGCCCGGGGCCCGCAGCGGACATGGCAGCGGGGCCCGCGCTCCCGCCCGCCCCGGAACAGCCGCGCCGGCAGTGGCGTCACGGCACGGGCGGGACCGTCCCTGCGACCCCAGCGCTGCGTTCTCGCAGGGTGTTTAAATGTGCAGGGCTCGTCCCGGCCGGGTGTCCTCGAAGCCGCTCCATCACCGCCCTCCTCGGCTGGGCAGGGCAGAGAAAACAGAACGAAAGGCTCGTGGGGCGAGAGCGGGACAGGAGAGATCCCTCAGCCGGCACCGGAGCGGGCGAACAAGACCCAACTGGGGGAATCCATTTGATTTATTGCCAGAGAAATCAAGAGTAGGGTAACGAGAAATAAAACCTAATCTTAAAACACCTCCCTGCCTCCCGGACTCAGCTGTGTTCCCGGTTCTCTCCCTGCTGCCCAGGCAGTGCAGGGGTCGGGGGATGCGCTCAGTCCGCTCGCTGTCCCCGCCGCTCCTCCCCCCTCAGGTGTAATAAATTAAGGTGGGAAATATAGTTTATCAAACAGGATGCATCTTTTGCTAAAAATACTAAGCTAAAATGTACAACAAACCTCAAGAGACTATGTAATAGTTATGTAAGAGACAAGATTGCCAAAGGTTCTTAGAGTTACAAGGACGATCCATATTAGGAGGCAATTGCTATCCAGGACAAAAAGGGCAAACAAGAGACACACGAGGAAGACATCTTACTTCAGCCTCGACGACCACCAGAAGGCAGAAAAGACCCCTTAGTAACAGCCTAAACATGCGCAAGAGTACTACCACTACGTCAAGAAAACGGAATTAAGAAACCATAAAAAGGGACTTTTTCAATGTTTTAGCGCGGCAGTTGGTGGGGCGAAGACCCCTCTCTGTCGCCCAGCGCTGCATTTGCTCATATTCCACTTGCTATCTCTAAGCAATAAATAAATTTTAATTGGTACTCTCATCATTTGTGGTCATAATTTATAACATCAGGGACAGGACTCCTCACACTGTCCCCTTCCACGGGGTCAGTCCTTCAGGAACAGGAGCTCCGTTATGGGTCATTCACGGCATCTCAAGCCCTGCCAGCAATCCTGCTCCGGCGCGGTCACAGCCTCTTCGGGCATCCCCTGCTCCGTGTGGGCTCCTCCCGGGCTGCAGGGGGATCTCTGCACCCCACGGACCTCCGTGGGCTGCAGGGGCACAGCTCACCGTGCTCTGCGCCACGGGCTGCAGGGGAACCTCAGCCCCAGCACATGAAGCATCTCCTCCCCTCCTTCCCCGCTGGCGCTGGGCTCTGAAGGGCTGCTTCTCACACACTCTCACTCCCCTTTCTCTGGCTGCCAATTGCTTCTGTGCAAGAACTGGTTTTCCTTCTTCATTATTGACTGTACATTATTAATTATTAGCTGGTTTTCCCTCTTATTATAACTGCTTCCACCATCACTGATGGGCTCGGTGTGGGTCAGCAGCAGGTTCTGCCTTGGAGCCAGATGACTTTGGCCTCACTGGGCACAGGGAAAGGTTCTGGCGGCTTCTCACAGAAGCCAACCCTGGAGCTGCACCCCCGCCTCCCCCACTACCACAACCTGGCCGTGAAAACCCCATACATGAAAATAGCTTGTCACATCACAGCCACACAGTGGGGTATGTCTATAAATTTCTCATGTGCAGGTCAGAGCATCCAAGAGGTTTTGTCTGGTTTCGTTTTGGAGAGCTCTAGCAGATTTTTCAGAAGTTGTTTCTTCTCTGAAATAATTTCTTTCCCCTTTTAGCAGGTAAAAACTTGCTGAGCCTTTACTTTCACCTCTCCCAAGAGTTCATATGGTGATTTTAAAAAAACTAAAACATGGCACATTGAAGCTGTGTTGGTGTGGTACCAAGGCTTTTCCCTCAGGTATAAATACAGAAAGATGAGAAGGTGGGAAAAAGTTAAAGGGCAAAACACTTGGGGAACACACTTTATTTAAAAGAACTTTTGAGGATCCATTTCATTGCAAAGTACAGCAGAATAATGATGCAACATTGCAGTAAAACCAAGAAAGGAATTCCAGGAACAGATGTAGCAGCTCAGCCTGGTTTTTAGAAACACATTTTTACTGATTAATCACTGCAACATCTCCTCCTCAAGTGGCCTCGGGGCTTTTTCTTCCTCTTACACGTTTCCTAAGATGCCAGTCTGCATTGGTTCCCTGAGCACACGCTGCCCTGCTGTGAAGTAAAGCTGGTTATGTACCCACAGTGAGGAGCTAAACTGTAAACTCTGTTGGGAACTTTCCAGGAATCCGAAGAGGGTTGTGCATTTGCCAGCTCTCATTCCTTTCCATTTCCTCCAAGACTGGCAACTCCACCGGTTCAGTGCTTTGGGGTCTGTGAAAGGAGAGCTCCACTCTGGCATAGGGACCACAGGGGACAAGGGAGATCCCCCCATCTGTCACCTGCAGAGCTCCTCGGCCAGAACGTGCCAGCAGAGCAAGGCAGAAACAGAGGCAGATTCCTCCAGCAAGCCAGACTTAGGCTCTCAAATTACAGAAATCGCTTCCTTGCTGTGTTCTCTGGCTTTGCAGATTCAGGACACATCTTTGAACATTGTTGAGGGACACGACAAGGTGCTGGCAGTTGTTTGTTATGGGTGGCCATTACTGGAGCAGAGCCCAGGACTAGGAGAGAGATGCATTCTCATTGTGACCAGACTCTTTCCTCTGTCTGGCACCGGGCCTGGAATGCAAGGCTGTCCCTGGAAATGGCCTTAGAAAAATAAACATATCAGTTCTTTTGCTCACTGACACAAGAAAGGACAGAACCTGCCTGAGGAGCTCCAAAGGATAGGACTGAAGGACCCATGTCTCCACGGAATATAAGCAAAGCAGCACAAATGTTGGTCCTGTCTTTGGAAGGCTCGAGCTTATCTTTGCCATGCTGGGGTGGGTGTGGAAAGGCCCCTGTCGAGCACATGAATAATTGGTGTCACAGGTCAGATACACCCTTCCTGTCATCAACAGACTAGGTAGTTTAGGGAACCAAAAATTGTTGTGAAAACAAGTAAGTTCCCTTTCCTGCCCAATTTCCTGTGCTAGATTGAGCAATTTGGGTCAGAAAAGGAATCCCAAGTGTCTCATGACTGGTAACAGAACTCAGCATCCGTAGAAAACCACAGCCCCAGGCCCCAGTGGACTGCAGCCAGCCCTGGGTGAGGGGTCTCCAGCACCACTGGAGTCTGTGAATTGTGTGTCTGTCAAGTGTCCTGTACCACTGCCCAGCACTGATTTCCTCAGAAAGTGGCCATGGCCTGATGGAAAACCTCACTTGCTGTAGGAAATCAAGAACTAGCCAGCTTCATTTCTTTGCAGCAGAACTGGAGGGGCTGGGGGAAGGAATAATGTAATGGCTACAACCCTAACTTAAATAAATACGCACAAAGATACTAATGCATTTTAGGATTTTTTTTTTCCTTAGCGTAATGCCCATGCTGACAGTAACCTTTGGTGATCTGGAGCCTCCTAAATGAGATTGGGTGTCCACAGACATGTGCAGTCAGTCAGGAGTGAGTTTAGTGAACTGAGTGCATGAGACCACTGGCTGGCCAGTTCTGCTGTCACACAAGAAGCCAGGGCAGACCATAGTGCCCTTTGGCCCTAATGATGATCTGGAGGGGTGCTGAGGCACTGCCAATTTCTCTTCCTTCCCTCCTTGACTGACTCAAGATCTGGAAGCAAAGGTTCGTAACAGCTACTGCCAGACATCTATAAAGTTTGGATCCCAGCAGACCATGTGAGTCGGTAAGAAGGGACCAGAGGTGCAGATTTCCTCTGACGGCATTTGAGGAACTCCATGGTCTAGTCCCTTCCAGCCACTCAAGAGCTTCTTCAGCTCAGGCTCTCTGCATAGGACCGTGTAAGCTGCTTAGAAAAGTCACCCGATGACACTCACAGCTCAGTCTGTTCTTCCAGGTCTTTTAGAAGTCCTTTTCAGCTCTGGTACTGGATCCATCATGAGAGCTGGGCAGGCAGAAGAGCAGGGATGGTTCTATCTGGACAGTGGATAATTCTGGTGCACTCAGATTCTAGCTGCTCACTGCAGAGGCTCAGCAACGAGTTTCTTTTACATAAAAGCAGATCCTTTGTGCTGTTCTCAGCACCCATGAGAACACCAGCTCAGACAGAAGGTGCTTTGCTGCCAGATAACCACAGGTTCCAGTTCTGCCAGTTACATGTGCATAGAAATGAGCATCCATTCTTCAGTCTAATGGGAAAAAGAGAATGTAAAATCCTGATCCTTTGTTGTGTCCCTTGGTGCCTCTTCTTGAGAAAAGAAGAGTGACTAATTCACACCTCTCCCTCTGCATCAGAACAGGCTGAGTGGTCCTAGCAGATCCTGATGGCATCCTCTTGGTGAGTGGTGCCCTCAATCACTGTGTCCGTGGTTTGCCTGGAGCACTTGCGACTCCCTTTCATGCTTTTCAGGTTTTCTGAAAGATGCTTCTGGAACTTCTTGGTGAGGAAGCAGTAGATGATCGGATCCAACACACAGTTTGTACTCAAGAGGCACAAAGTCACCTGGTGAGCATCGTTGAGCTGCTGGCGCAGCTGACAGTTTTCCTTCTTCCACTGCTCCAGAACAGTCAGGGTCCAGGGCAGGTCTACGATGTGATGGGGCACAAAGCTGATGATGAACACGGCCAGCACCGTGCACACCATCCACAGGGCCCTTTGCTTGACATGGGCACTCTTCCGCGGATGCGCCGACTTGGAGAACAGGGTCCTGATAATGACGATGTTCCAACCTAGTATGAAAAGGAAAATGATGTAGAAGAGGATGCAGATGATGACATGAATGGCAAGAACAGCCGAAACCCCGCTAGAAGTGTCGTAGCGCTCAAAGCACCGTGTGAAATTCTTGGAGTTGATCTCCTCTCGATTTGTATTATTGTCAAAAAGGTAATACAAAGAGCTGCCCACTATTACGATCCAGATAGCTGCTGATAGGTAGATACCCCTCCTCTGGGTGGTCAGCTGGGCAGCTTTAATAGGATTAGTCACAGCTTGGTAGCGATTGTATGTGATGACCATCAGAAAGGCAACAGAAGAGTACGTGTTAACAAAAAACAAACAGCCAGCCACGTTACAGAGGAA